AAAATTTAAATATAAATAGATGTATATTGTTATGAGTTTAAAGCTACATAGGATAAACGAATGTAGTTTCATGTTACATTTGAAATCATTCTAGAATGAAAAAGATGGTAATTTAGATTTTTTATTTGTTTTGGTGGTTACGAGGTTGTTCAAAAATAACAGATCACATATAAAGTTTTACTGAAATATTTGAAATGTATTTAAGAGGTTTTAGAAATTACACAAATGAAATTTGAGATTTTTGAGATGAAAAAAAGTATTTTTAATCTTAACATAAAAATCACTTTGCATATGAACAAATACTTGATATATTCAAGGACAAATCTTTTTTTTAGTTTATTAAAAATACTTCGCTGAAAATATGATTTTTTGTACATAAAAGACTTATAATGTTTACTGAAAGACTGCCAAATTTTGTAAAGATATACACACTATATTAAAAGTTACTAGTATCATATTGTTGCGTCATCGAGATCATGTGATTCTCACGCCCTCTACTTTCTAGAACTATCCTGTACTTTGGCGAATGCTCTAGTATTTACTAGATACAGGGTAGTCTGGTATATAAAAGAGGGTGACAACGTGACGGGAAGGTAATATGTGTGTAGATAGTGAGTATTTGAACTGCAGTCAGAAGTATTGTAGACGTTCGTTGATATAGCGTTTGTTTTAGCGCGATTGTTGAAAATAAGTGTATCGTAAAGTTGTATTCGGAAAGAATAAACCAGTTTTATTAAGTAAGGACTTGTGTCGCTAAAGTTTCGTCGGAACGAAGTTACGGAAAGTTAATTAACAAACGGAGATGTAACAATATCTATAAAGACTTTGAGTGAGTACAAAGAGGTCACATGGTCAGTCGAATTGACCGAGTCCGTGTTGAGAGAGTTAATTGATGTATTCTAGCTATATTTTAAGCGAGTTATGTCTCAGGACAGTTTTTCCAGTGAATTCTCATCTTGAGCTTTATCATCACCATACTTCAAAAATGAATACCTGTAGTTCCATATCATCCTTTTAATGTGGTAAGTAGTGATTAAATGGAAATGTTCCTGTAATATTCCTAATGAAAAAAACAACTGAGGGTATGTAGTGGTGTTTCTTTCACTCATACCTGGGTATGGGTAGGAAAGTTGTAGCACCTTGCCTTGCCTGTCTAATGGTAGAGTAAAATGTCTCAAAATTGTCCTCATTGATGACCAAGTTTTTTTTTAATTGGATTACAGAGGTGTCCAGTGTTTTTAGTGTACACCTAAAACATGGGATAAAGTGTCCGATTTGTAGAGGTTGGCTGGTTTCTGAGGGCTGTTTTAGAGAGGTCTTGCTGTAAAATTAAGTAAATATAATAAAATCATGTGCAATCTCATGTTACATAATTTAAAGGATTCTGCAAACTCTGCAATAAAACAACAACAAAAAACAATTCCCTGTTGACAACTCTTGATTTAAAGCAAGTTATTTAATCTAAAGAAAAATGAAGCAAACAGGCATCTTTTGTAGCTGTGAATCAAAGTATTAAAGTATATGTCACACAAGCAGAAGTTCTTTGCGTGGTGAAAATTTCTCATAGCAAATATTTTTTCTCTTGTGGAACTGATCAGAAAAAAGTTCCAAGGAAATGTTTTTGCAGAGAATTTTACAATGAGTAGAGCTAGTTTACCTGATCAGAATGATTAGGATCGTACTTTTGAAAGACTTTCTGTGAAAGAATCTCTAGTGGTCCAGTGTTTGTGCTGCAGTATAATGTAACTAATTGGTTTAATTCTCCATAATAACTCAAGTCCATAAATAGTGTAATCTTCTTGTCAGACACTACTCATTATATCTGATCTGGCCAGATGTCAATTTTTGATGGAAATGATGTTTGTACATATAAAGGATGCAGATGTTTCATAAGGAATCATGTATACATTCCAGATCACACTTAGTAAACTGCTTAACTTGGGATCAGATGGCCCTAATGGAACAAGGTCAATGAGGAAATTATCATGCCTGTCAAGTTTAATGCCATTTATTCCCTGTAACATGCATGCTAGTACAGTTCCTTTCATGAAGATATGAAAGTGTATGGTGAAGTGCAGAGGAATTAGCAATTGATTTGTTCTACTTCTTTAATTCATCATCTTGTGAAAAAAAGGTTTTTCAAAAGGTGGAAGACGAATTTAGATTTGATAAAGATTTGTTCATTATACAGGTACAGTGCAAGTTGTTGACACTGCTACCAGTATTTAAAGAGATTTTAAGAACTGTGAACCTATACTTTAATATATCTTGACAGTTCTGCCAATGACAGCTTAGAGCAACACAACAACCAGACTTCTTAACTAGAATGTACAGTATCTTTTGCACCTATAAATTATTGAAGACTGTCAAAAGTAACACAAACTCATTTTCTTTTAAGATTACACTACCTGTAAAATAGATTTCTGAAGATGTTTCAATGAGAGGATAGTCTAATCCATATTATATATTCAAAAGTGTTAGGTATTGTTGCGTCATCGAGGTCACGTGACTGGTGTGGCGCCCTCTATTTTCTAGAACTATCTGTTTTTTCATGAATGCTCTAGTATTTACTAGATAGGGTAGGCGGGTATATATAAGAGGGGACAACGTGACGCGAGAGGAAGGTAATGTAATGTGTGTGTGAAGATAGTGAGTAATTGATCTGCGGTCAGAAGTATTATTGACGTTCGTTGTTATAGCGTTTGTTTAGCGCGATTGTTGAAGTTGAGTGGCACTGAAAATTAAAAGTAACTTCAACAGATTATTTTTAACTTTGGATCAAAGAAAAAAACAAACTGATTTTTAACATTCAGTATAACACAGTAAGCAAACATTAATTTTATGGTGTACAATAAATGCGTACCCTGATGGGTTAGTGGTAAATTTATAGATTTACAACACCAAAATTCGGGGTTTGATTCCGTGGGGTGGACAGATCATAGCATTGTGTGGCTTTGCACTAAAATAAACCAAAAATTCGAAAATTACATACACCAATATGTTTTGTAATGTTTTGTTTTTTCACATATGTTTCCTCGCTTTGGATTTTAACCTAAGATCTCGCATGCCTGGGGAGTGTTTCTTTTCCCCTCTCTCTATTAAGGGGTACTCCACAGGATGCCTTATGATCAACATACAGCAAATCAGTAAACATACGAAAATTATACAAAAAAAGAAAAACATCACACTTAGCTAAAGGGCTAACACCCTAGCAATTCCAGGTAAAGCACGTTTTGGTAACTCAATCTACTTCATTATCTTATATGGAAGATGAAGAAACTGATTTAGCATGGCTATTCTTGCATGGCTGAGATGCTTAATAATAAGTGTTTTTTTTTATCTTATCCTTTTAAGCTTGATTGAAAAAGGCACTTTGATGAAAACTAGCTAACAATTACAAACGCCGTCTTAAACACGATGTTGAATTCCTGAAGTAATGATCTTCTGTTTTGAAGCATGATTTTTGTGAATTGTTTTCTAAGTGTTAATTCTCTAAATGATGGCTCGTAATTTATGTCCACATTGAATTTATAATCTTGTGATTGATGTGCAAGATCATTACTAGATTAATGTGCATTTTTCTTTGAAGTAATCGTATTTCTTGTGATCATCACTATTTTGTTTTAGGCCTTCTCAAGCCCAACCTATGGATTGCTTGAAACAAACCCTCAGAAAAAGATATCAGTTTCCGATTATTTGCCGTTCAGTAAAGAAATCATAATCTCGACTGTAGATGGTAGTGTTAAGAGCAGTTTCCAGAAGTATGAAGCACCTCCCCCTTACAACTTTCCATCACAAGATACCTTCACAGACCAATGAGTGAAGTATACTTACCAGATTATGCGTGTGATGGTTTGTTGTTATTAACTTGTAGTTTCAGGCTGAGACAAGTTTGTCATTGTTTGAATAGTCCTTAGCCTTTATTAAAATGAATTTTATTAAAGTTTGTTTTGCACCTTTCTGTGATGTATTGTATGTGATAAGATGATTTAGTCACTGTATTTTAAACATTTCTTATAAATAAAGTATTTAAGAGGTTTATATATAGTTTGCTTTAGTCAATGTTATACGAAAGTTTTGAAATAAACCAATAGACAAGTTTTACATTTCAGTAGGGATGGAATGCAAGTAGCTAAATGACCACTTTGTGTAATTGTAGCATTTATAATGGTTTGGTTTAATGATTCAGATAGGTGCTTTTTTATGTGTGTGTGATGGTTAATTCTTTGAAATGTAATTTTACAACAGGTTCTATGAAGTAGAATTTATCATCCTATATAAGGCTGTATATCGTAATATTTCTAAAGTTACATAATATAACCATTTTTAGTAAACAAGTTTGAGAGGGGACACATTATACTTTGTAAGTAGTACTATTAGTGTTGATTTATATAAATGCTCACACCCTCTAATTCTTCCATCAGCTTAATTTGTTTGAAATATATATGCTAATAACACTAAATAAAACGCAGAGTAGCAAACATCGAAACATTTAGCTCTTTACTCTCTTTATTAAATTTAAATAAATGTACGATGATAACCCTTTCAACAGAGACACCAGTGTCATCCACTTTATGGTTTTAAAGATAAACAAATATTGAGCTTAGAAAATAACCAAACATAGAAAAATGAAGTTGTAAGTTTAAATACCAGGAAATGCCACAAATGCTAAAAGTACTGTTTAGTATCCATCTTGAATAAAGCTTGGAAAGTGAATATAATTAGATGATAGAGAATCGTTGGGTAAAAACTTACAAACTAGCACTAGTTAAGATTCAACAGCTTCATCGGCCAGGTTAAAGTTCTTTAAAGACTCTTTGATTTGTTTGTCTTCATAAATCTCCACAAGTAGCAGCACTAACTGGACACTTCATTAGGACCCTTCCGAATATTGCCACAATAATAGCAAAAACTGGTGGTACAGACTATATCATGTCACCACAATAATAGCCAAGACTGGTGGTATAGACTATAGACTACAAGATGTTGGCAGGTGTCTTGTTCCAGCTGTTTTACAGATGTTGGCTGAAGGTTATGATGATAGATGCATTTTAAATTTATCAAAAAATGCTTACTTGAATCGAGATCAGACGCTTTTGCTGGTCAAGGAAATTTAAAGAAGTTCCTGTATATTTAGATAATAGAAACATAGTGGGTGTTGTGTTGTGGACTTGAAGAAATATTGTTCACAAGGTTGAATATGGGCTAGATACGATAATCAAAAACTCAAAATACAATGTGTATGTCATTATTCTTCATTAACAAACGAAAGAACCCAACCTTCCAATGAGAACAAATTCCACATTATCTTACAGACTTCCTGTATGACTTGGAGAAAAACAACAACAAAGTTTTAAAATACCTTGTAGCTTCTTTATAAAAGAACTTTTATAAAATAACTTTTAACATAACAATGTATTTTAGAAGATGAAATAAACCCAAACAGACATTGTAGTGGTGATAAAGGTAGCTTAAGATGTTCTTTGGGGTATTGAACACATCATTTCACAACCTTCAGAACAGGTAGTAGAAGTGGTGGTAAAGGTAGTTCAGGATGTTCTTTAGGGTGCTGAAAATTCATTGGGGTTGTTTTTACTGTACATAATGGGGAACTGCTAGAAAAGACAAAATAATCTGACTTTAGAAAAAATAAAATGAAACCTTTTTTTTCCCACATGGTTAAGTTTTTAACTATAAATTGAAAACCCATCAGTATTTCTAGGTTTTATTAGTAATGGACAGTTTATTAATCTAAATAGCGCATGCTGAAGTAATTGGATATCATTAAGTAGTTTCATACAATTGTTTCAGTATTTTTTAGTGTTTAATAGAGTTTAAGAAAGAAACTAAAGAAATTTAGATTTCTGGGTGTGATTCACGCACATGAAGAAATGGCATAAGAAAGGATTCGTGTATTGTGAAAGTTGGTCAAGAACTAGGGAAAGCATAGTTAGCTAGTGGTTACTATTGAGAATCATGAGTTAAGTAGTTATAAAAAAAATATAACTACTGCCTAGTACCTCAGTAAGATGCTGAGAAAAATGCTAGTCACAAGTTTGACAGTGTTAAGCTACTGATGCCAATCTAGTAGTACAGGAAATGCTACTAAAAAGTTTATGATAACATCTGAGATCGGCACTTTCGTTACTACTGTAGGATTCGTTACTACAGACTGGAGTAGTAGTATAGGAAAAAAGGCAACCGAAGCACTCACCATTACAGTAACCAATGACTTGAGAGTTTTTGTTTTTGTTTTGGAAATGCCCAATGAATTGTAGAAATTAACCAATGAAATGTCAGAACTACTTGTAGGTAGTTATGTATACTACTTGGAAATTCGTAAGAACACAGAGAATTAATCATAAAAATTCGTGTCTGGAGCTGAAAAATCAGTTCTCCAAGGGCTGACAACACTTTTCCAGGACAAGTCAAGAGTTAGTTCTCCAGTTCAGAACTGCAGTTCTCCAGGACGAATCAAGAGTTTTTGACCTCCACAATGATGATCGTATCTAACTTGCAGTGATACACCTTCTCAACTTTGATATAAGATTGCTATTTCTCTTGTTCAATCAATGTACTTTTGGATAAAATAGAAATTTATGTGAAAGGAGTTGATAATTGTAATAGAATGGAATATTTTATATGTGAACTATATTTGTTTCTATTGATTAACCCGATGACTACCGGTACTAACTTTCTTAGTAGGCAATGCAAGTGTGCATTTGTGAATTGAAAAAATGTT